GTGTTGCATGCTAGACGACTGGTGCTTGTTCAACCTGTTAGCTATGTTGCATGCTAGACGACTGGTGCTTGGCACATCATTCATGCAAAGGGGATGTGCGTTACGCTTCATGCATAACGTTCGCAACAATCAGAATGCTTAGTTCAACTGGTAGCTGTCTGTTTTCTTCCTGTGGCGAGCCGCATATCTGGTTGAGTGGAGTTGAGTTCTCATCTCTCGGGTTCTTTTTGCGTGTATTAGACATGGGGATCAATATGTGTGTCAGTGCCCAATGCTACGAATGAGCTTGGTGTGGGCCTTCTAGTTGAATGGTCACTCCACTCAACTCGACACTCGCAATTATTTGAGCCATTGAGTTACAACCGAGCTCGAGCCTGCTGGGAGCTTAGTAGATATTGATCGCTTGTGTGTGGCTATAAGTTTCCTCTCCTTGGTGGGCGATTGTGGTTGTCACAATATTCAGGGTTTTAGGGTCTAGGTATAATTGACAAGTTACTTCGAAAATGTACACTCGTTGTCGTGAGTGTGTTTTTGGATCCATTACACAGCATGTACTGTTCGTTCGAATACTGCAATTTCAACCCGTGTCGATGAACCTTCTACAGTACCACTCTTTTCAATCTCTTTGTCATTCTGCTCATCGATTCAATTCACTGCAATGTCTCATTGCACCATTTGCTTTAATGGTTTTTCACAGACGAACCTCCAGAGCCCAGCGCTGCTCGCGATATGACACTCCTAGCCAAAACTATACAGACCTTAGCCAACATGTCGTCATTCTCGGTATGCGCATAGAAGCTTTCATTTTTAGCGCATGTTGACGTGCGACCGTGCTTTTTGAAGGGGTGGTCCGGCTCTGTCTGTGGTGCGCTAGTATTCGGATATGTTACTGTGAGTTGTTGTTGGGCTGAATGCCTACCCCCGAGATGTCTCATTGACCGTGTTGCTATCTATGTATGATTGAAATCTACAATACGTGTCTATAATTACCGTTGACCATGGATATCTGGGCTCACTTTAGAGTGTGCGAAGCTAAAGCGACAGCACATGTGACCTCTTACGAAGCTCCCACCTACTTTTGAGGCACTTTGTACATTGTTCCATTACCCTAGACTTTGTAATGTACATACGGAATATCCATAGCATGACGATTTTAGCATTTCACGGGTCAAGGGTAGTTGGGAGAGTATCAGTGATCAGGTGGCTTAACTGTGGATTGTATAGTTATTTCCCAAGTGCGGAGGTTCAAGTAAAAAGAGAAGGTATAAACCGTGTCATATTCGAATTCACTATCGCAGAACAAGGAGTCCTTCATGTTGCCAATGAATGAGTTCCTCCAAGCAGAACGGCCGAAAATGAGACAATATCTGGATTTCGTATGTTGAGGATCGCAAATCCAGTTGCACATCTGTCTGTGCTTTTGGCTTGTCTATTTGATTTGTGGGTAGAGTTGTTCAGCTCATAGGCTGTTACCTGCACAGGTGTTTCACGTGTTTTTGTTTATTGGTTTGTTTTATTGATTTCGTCTTCTATACTGTAATTACAGAAGTGATATGATAGATTGGCCTGGTTTATCTATATGCAGGACGAGTGTTTCTGATCTTTTGCCGTATTTTCTCATTTCCATTTCCACGCATGTCGGGTGGCTGGCTTTTTTATTGACAATCCCTTTCACAAGCTTATACGCCGTTATGTGAACGCAAATATGCATTGTTCGATGTTTTGGTGTGAGGTGTTCCTGTACAACCTTGGTTAGTGTATATTAGTGTCATTCGAATACTATTTTGGTAGTAATACTTCACTACCATTCTATACCTTGGTTGCAATTTGTTATACCTTGGTTACCATTCTGGTTTACCTTGGTAGTAACATATTAAACTATCTCATCGTTCATCTCCGTATAGACATTGTTCAAATGCGCACTTGCCCTATAATTGAAGTCTTTTTGGGTCCAATTTTATTCGTCGTCGTTTATGTTAGAATCGCCCGTGTACAGCTTCGAATATACCCATGGTCCTGAAATTTGACATCGTCCAGTATCAGTGTTATCGTTTCGATAATGAGCAGGTACCACCTGTGTATACGCTAGTCAGATGAGAATTGTACCCTATAATAAAACCTTGGTATTGATATGTTTATATATATGCTTTTTCATACATGTATATCCACCCAATACCCTACTGGTCGTACTGACTTCAAATTATATTACATTCTGATCAATAGACTCCTCTGCAGTAGCACTATTCGCCTATTCATCTTAGGTGAAAAGTTTGCATCTTTGCTCTACATTCATCTAATAGCGCATCGTTATCTATGAGACGAATCTGTATCGTAACAATCTGGTAAGCTCTATATGTATTAATTTATTTATACGTTTATTTTCTATAAACACACGTTCGCGGTCACGCACAGGTGAGTAGTCCTATGGATGAGGATTCAAAAGCAGTCGCTATACCAGAACCATATTTAGATGACAGTATAGATCTCCCCAAAGAACTGGTGCGCGTTCACCGCCATCTGCGCCATGTCCAGCCATTGGTATGCTATTCCTGTCTGAGCTGTGTCTGAGCTGTGTCCGTTATTCCAAGTTCCAGTCGTGCGGGTGCAAGTTACCGAAGGGTCAGTTGCTGAACGTGTGTGCGATGGTATTGTGGTATCTGTGGTATCCGGGGTGTAGTGTGTGATTGTTTACACATGTATGTGTGACTGATGCTCTGTTGTGCATATACATACTCTTGCCGTGCAGGCTGCTCTCGCTTGGTATGCTACACTTTTTGACGTGGTATATAATTTATATTTGAGACTAGTGTAGATTGCAAAGCTGAGGAGAAATTTACCTCTTCCCTACCTACATTGAACCACTCGTGTCTGCTGCTGTATTCCGCTCAGTACACAGTACAACCATTGATAATAGCGATTGTGAATGCCATTTAGATTACAGCTCTACATTTCTATGGTGAATTTTAATAGTTTGTTGGATCATGCTGAATGTGGGGCTCAATGGATGGAATGTGTACAGATACGCTCTTCAACCGATCATGTGGGTAAACAAAATGGGTTTCTATATCCAAAATAAGGTCATTTCTCACACATGAAGTATTTCCACAACCAAATCTAAAATGTACACAGATGCAAAGTCATTTAGACGAGATCTCCACGGAGAATGAGCATGAAGACTGCGACGGTTTCCGCAATGTTATCAAGCAAGTGGACTACATCACCGAACTCAATCTGGCCGAGGAGAAAACGGTGTCGTAGGGTGGGATTACCTAAATAAAACGTGACTTAACCGTTTTAATCCGCGCCGTTGGTCTTTGAATTATTTCACGCATTGGTATCTACTCAATACTTGTCGTTAGTCACGGCAACACCAGCATATCTTCCAAGGGATGTGCGGAATGACATGTTTATTTCATGTGGCCTTCATTTGTTTCAGTTTCCACTGACTCTGGCGTGGGGTACATTGAGCCAGTTATCTCCTTTTTAGTGAGCTTTATGCTCTGTTCGTGCGCAGACTCAATGCCACTAGTGCATTGCATGTCCGTTCTGAACGACATTCTCCGGATCTGTCGTTAGTAGAGGCACTCGAATCGAAGCATTGGTCGTAGTGGATTAGCTCACGCGTTCCCACGATTTTAGGGTTTGAACCCTCAGCCTCTGCAATTGCGACTTAATTGCGACTTCAAGAGCAGAAGATGACATACAGGACACACCCGCACTTGACCTAATTTAATCTAGTTCCACCAGCGCTTGACCTAATTTCTTCTAGTTCTTCCCGCACTTGACCTAATTTCTTCTAGTTTCACCCGCTTGGCCTGATTTTTCTAGTTCCACCCGCTTGACCTATTTTTTTCTTGTTCCACCCGCACTTGACTTAATTTCATCTAGTTCCTGCGGAAAATCATAGAGTCTATCATCTCGTTCCGGTTCCCAAATGCGTACGAAGTTCTCCTGCGTTGATCGACGGGCATCGTAAGCTTTAGGGCTGGGTATACACCGCCAGCTTTCAATACCGGAGATGCTAATCGGGTTGACAAATACTTTAGTTGCTTATTGGTTTCACAGATACTTTAGATGCCTATGGGATTTATGTGTACTTCAGATGCTTGTACGCCCGTTGTAAAGTCTTTTTCAGCTCCGCCTCGTCCAACTTTAACGGCCAGTATTTAAAACTCTGGTAGCAATCACCATGGGCTTGGTAGTAATGCGTTCGTTCCCAACTTCTATGGTTCTGCTGACATATGTCCGTCTGATACTGCCTTTCGAGACTGGCCTCGACAGTCAGGTTGGTTTTGATCGCGTCTATACTCTGATAGTAACCCCCGCCACTCGAATACAATTCCCGAAACGCTCGTGAATTCCACCCCACAGGTATGCCCTCTATAAACGCCGAGTTGGTGTTCATAAAGTACGTGTTGGCCGCACCTGCACCGTGAGCCATCAACACCACGTGCGCACGCGCAAACTTGGCGAACTGCTCGTACACGCTCAAAGTACCCAGATTCTCAATGTATTCCACCTCAATTTGCAGACCATCCACGTGTACACTCTCTGCGGCAATTCTGCGTAGCTCCGTAGGCTCGGCCCAGCACCGCCCCTCCTTGCCCCTATCGACAATCAGCACTCGGACAGAGCCTTTTATGCCTTTTTGCATATCAACGGTCTTCTCGCCGTGCAGCTTGAATACCTCGTACCGCAGGCGCTGCTTAGAGACGGAACCGGTGACTGGCACATTGGGCCTGCCAACGGTGAATGCCTGTCGCCCACACACGAGCTTCGGAGTGGTGTGATCGCGTTGTGATCTACATGCGGACGAACTCCTTTGCACCTTCTCCTCAGGCCATACGCTTTCCACATCGACCAGAAAACCGTTGTATTTATCCAAAACACCGCCGTAAGTGATATTTGTTTGATTTCGATCGTCGCCGCCAAAGCCAGAGATCCCCAATGAGGTGGCGACCGCATGCTTGTCGTGCTTGTAGTAGACCGATGTAATCCGCGCCATCACGTCGTACCAGAACCCGAAATATTGAAACAAGCATTTTTGCTGAGTTTCAGCAAATACGCTGCCAGTGAATGTCACTCTATCGATTCCATTCATCATATCACACACTATATTCCACCACGACAGCACCGAGATAAGTGCCAAGTACGCATTATCCACTGCCGGTTGGAAGTACATAGAGTGATCAGGTAGCCAACTTATGCCTCCACCTTTTTGACTGATGTGCTGTTTAATGAACTCCACACTCTTCCCCTCCATATTTATATAATTCTTAATCGGTGTCACCTGTTTCTCTAGACGTTGGAAGACATTTAAACGGCCAGTCTCGGAAATATGTCGGCCAAATTCCCCGTCGCCTGCACTGCGCATGCTGAACTTTTCCATCCCCTCGAGATTGGTCGGTATGTCCGCATCTGTCTCACCCACTATGGCATAGTACTTACCGCCGTCAAAGCACAAGGTCTGGTACACACACACCATCACCTCATCGTTATTCAACTGACACTGTACTAGAGGAGCATTCGGGTCAAAAGTAGGCAGGTCGTTATAACTGGGACTACTACGCATTTGCGAGTCAGAGTTCGTGGCCCCGCCAATGGACGCAGTAGACTGTGATGGGAGTGACTTGTCACTCGTGTAAATATTCGCTTGGAAACCACTTAGAGTCCACAATTCTACACTAAGACATACAATGCATAACACCTTCACAGGGAGCGGGATGCCCCTCCACAGACTCGACATATTGCCAATCTGGCCTTCGGTAAATACGCAGCGGACGTCTAATACTTGCTATTTCAATTTAGTTTGATATCATTCTAATATAGATACTGTACAACTTGAAAGCATCTGAATGAACGTGATTTGTGCTCCCTTGTGAGGTTAATCGAGCAATTCTTCCAATTATCCTGGTTTGCACGCTTAATCAAAGGTATTTGAATAAATACACATACATGAAACAATTGAAAATTAAACAATTGAAAATGGTTTACAAATACATACTGATTGGTGACAACACTACATCCGCGAGCGAGAATGTAGAAAAGCACAACGTAGATTCACATTTCAGATTTCACAGAAAAATAGATGTGAATGTTTCTATAAATGTGAATGTTTCTATAAATGTGAATGATTCTATAAATGTGAATGCTTCTATAAATGTGAATGTTTCTATAAATGTGAATGCTTCTATATATGTGAATGTTTCTATAAATGTGAATGTTTCTATAAATGTGAATGCTTCTATAAATGTGAATGTTTCTATAAATGTGAATGTTTCTATGGTAAATATGTACTCGAGGTATGTATTTTTTTTAAAATACACTCGGCCTCTTCCTCCTATGTAAAAATAAACAAAGTTTTTACTGTTCTTTTTTCTTCAATAATTCCCATTTATATATATAGAACAATAAAAATATGCATCTCTGTTTGCATGGGAACCGAGGCCCGATCACCGACCCACCCAGCACCACTATCCAGCCGTAATCCAGCTCACAATAGGTTAAGTCACGATGAATATGTGCCATGTATTCCTACATATGTCAACATAACCCAATTTTATGTCAACATAACCCGATTATTCGGAGGTCCTTCCTACCTTCAACTTTTGTGTACAGTCACATTTGTGATTTGAGGGCATTGTTGTGTTCACTAGTATCCGCTTGCTTCCACTGGAACGGATTACGGTTTCAAACTACACCCATAGGCTTGAGCTGCGTTCTCTATGTACGTTGTATGAATGCAGGGGAGTTATGGTTTTCACACATCTCAAATTACTATTAAAAGTATTTGATACCAATCAACAGACAGTAGGGCTATAGTAGAATAGGCCTGATCAAAGCTGTGAACGGTTTACAAATGCAAACAACAGGCTAAAAGCAAGTGTATGTGCAGTTGTAAATGCAGTAACGCACTCTAATTCATGATGCATTTAAAAATATAAGAAAGCCAAATCATCAACAATGTCAGTGTCATCACTTTTAAGCTGACACTATTTCTCTCACACGATGACGAGCCATACGATAAAAGATAGATCTCAAAAAGTGTACGATTACAGGGTATATATAAAGCCTAAATTTTTTTAGAAGTATGTTTCGATTGCTTCTACATATTCACATACGCCAAGAGCCACGTCTATTGAACGCAAAATCGAACCTGTCTGAAGGCATATGCACTTGCAATAAACGGATAAGTATACCACCAAGTCTGGGAGTGCGCAAGCGTTTCTGCTGAAATCAATATCAGTATGAGTGCGCTGGTAGGCCAAGCCTTCTTGTCCGGCACTCTTCGCTCGTTGTTCGACAGCACAGGAGTCTCTCCTGACTCTGTCGAAGCTGCCATCAGTGCGGAACAAGGTATATATATAATAGTATTAAGCCACATTAGTAGATTCTTACTTTTCTATTGGAATAAAGAACTAACATAAATACGAATAATATTAACCTGGTGCTGCTGTCAATTGTCTCTGCATTGATGACACGAACACAAACGCACACACACACGTACACAGAAACACACACACACACACACACACACACACACACACACACACACACACACACACACACACACA